ATGTGGCAATCCGTAATTTGCCTTTTCTCAAGCTTTGTACCTTCCCAATCGTCCCATGACACTTTAGTGTCATAAACGTTTTTTCGGTCTAAAGTCCGCGGACACTTGAGTACTCTGTGGGCGGTCCTGTTTTTTGCTCATTAGCACGCTTTAGAAAGCATCTTTATCGCTGCTTGTGGTCTCTTTAGTTTAGGCAAAATATGTAGATGGCGTTGTGAATAAAAATGCAGTGCTCTCTGAACTTTAGATTTTTGAACATCCGTTTCGGCGTCGTGGATTTTCCAACCGAAATGGCCCCAATTTTATAGAAAATACTATTTTCTCATTATTTAATCTTAAAGTATGATAAGGTCAGTCGGGGAAATTGCGCCATATTTTTTGCATAGATGATTTCGATGCAAAATAATTTATTTAAATATTGACTTATGTGTGTTTATATATAACATTAACAATATTTGGTATTTTGTAACTGCAATGACTACTGATGCAGTTAAATCTACCATAAATTTTACGATATTTTGTAAGAAATTTAAAAACATGGATATGGCCCACTTGCCTCTCAAAACGGGGCAAGTGCGCCTATTTTAAAAAGAAAGCGCTAAAATCGTACGCAATAAGATAAATAATAATTTTACTTTATGGAAAATTTACAACTAAACACATTGCTTTTTTTCTGTATTATTATCTAATCTTATGAAAGCTGTGGTTGCTCTTACCACAGCTTTCTTAGTAAATGTGGGGCAAGTGCGCCATAGATTAGTAATCAGGGGATCTAAACATTTAATGTTACTTTTTACATTATAAATGTATTAAAACTGTTTGGCAGGATAAACATATATTATGAATAATTAAGTCAATCTTTTATTATATATTTTTTTAATTTACTTAAGTAATACAAATATAGGTAACAATTTTTCTTTGGCTAGATAGAACGTAAACATCAACTGCTTGATATAAAGTTTCTTTAGACCAAGAAGGGCCATCGGTTTTTCTTTGGTATGTACGAACCATCTGAAAAACAATGCACAAAATCATTTTAGGACTAATATTAAGGTAAGTATGAAATGTGGGCACCCATTGAGTAAAGGGAATGACTCCAAGTACTTAATTTGAATAACTGCGTTGAAACAACCTAAAAAAATCAAAGAACTTAATGAAATCTTAGACTTCCGCGTTTACTATTCATTGAAATAAAACCACTTTTATATTTGTTTTAACATTTAATCCTGACGTTCCGATCCCTTTGCAGGAACGTGGTTACGAAACTTCCTGCGTTAGTAATAGACGCGTTAGTAATCCGTTTAAAAGTGGTTTTATTTCAATCAACGGGCTTCTTTTGAAATGATCAGAAAATACAGTTATCAGACATATAAAACAGTTACTTGGGAACTTGCTCCTTACTAAGTGGGTTAAAAACATCACCAGAATCATAAAGGTTGGTGACCTCTGGGTGGGGGCAAGCGCGCCATACTTCTGTTATCTAAGGCGCACTTGCCTCCACTTAACTATTTTGAGGTTATGATTTTTAATTTAATAAAAATCATTCATATCAATGTTTAGGAGTAAAATACAGACATAGAATTAATGAAAAATATTTAAATTCATTACTCACCGCATTGGTTTACCGGAACAAGTCAAAAATTTCCAGATTGAAACTGATTACTGACACGAGGTCATCTTACGCAGCCGATATAAATGACACTAAAACTAAAATGGCGAATATTTCATTTATGGTGAACAGAGCCATCTGTGTTTTAGAAGCAGAAGTGTAGTTTAGTTTGTTGCGTGTATGCAAGATGTCGTTAGTTCTATAATATTTGTAGTTTTCGAAATTTTTGTGGTAGGTGCATTTACCCCGTAGGTGCACTTGCCCCGACTGACCTTATATACGCACGTTTCTCAAGATTTAACTGTATCAGTGATGTGAAAAGTTTATAGTTTTATTTGCGTTACAATTAAAATGATGGCATTAACCGCCACTTGTACATACTTTTGTGCAATAAAGTATAAATAAATAAATAAAAACCTACAAAATATATGAACACGTAAAAGTCCTTCGGCCGCCCGCGGCTTTATTTGTTACTAGTTATTTTTATTTTATTTCTTTTTTTATGTTTTTATCTTGTTTTTTTTTCAAAATATTAATTTATAAAGAAATACTGTAAATAAATTGCAAACATTGGAAAGATAAAAACCAAGCCTGCAATAATAAACAATTTGGCACCTACCAAACGTTTGATACTTAACTATTCAGGTATTGTAAAATACTGGACAAAGGATGATGGGCAAAAATGTATGGAACTTGGTATCCGTCCCAATAGAGGTCTACTTGAATACAATAACGTCTACTATGGCGCTTGCCCTGATACGTTGTCGAAACCGAGTTATATAATAAATAATAAAAAAAAGTTTTTTCTTTTTAAATTGTTATACATTTTAGTATTTACATTATTTTAGCAGTGTTGTAAGTGTTAACAATAGGCATTAGGTTAGAGCGTTGATATCTGCAATAGTTTGAAAAAACTGTATTGCAGATAACAGTGCCTTCCGACTTAGTAACAATACAACCTCGTGTGAACTATTTAATGTTTATCTTTAACGAGAACGTTAATAAAAGAAAATGGTAAAAAACATAATAAAAAAAAAACAATAACTAGCTTGTTATCTTGAACGGTAACCATAGGCGTATATAGAAGGGGGGGTCGAGTGGGCCGTGCCCAACCCAGGACGGTCTTGTGCCCACCCCAGGATGTTGGACTACCAATTCGAAATTCTATAATACTAATCACTAACTTCAGACAACTCTTCAATGTCAGGGCCCAGCTCCCCCCTGAAAAATAACCCTAGACACGCCAATGAGGGTAACACTTAATATGTATTTCTATATAAATATATTTATTTATGTACAGTATATGTATTCTATCCGTTACCCTAGCATCCCATAACACAAACCTTACAGTGCTTACTTTGGGGCTAGGCTAATTGTTGTGAGTGTCGGAAATATTATTATTATTATTCTAAGCAAAGTCGTTACTACTGAATAATACGTAGCAGTAATAGGTCCTTGCTCGAACATGGAGAGACCGGATTCGTCCTCGTAACAAACAAACGTTTTGATCTATGCCGTATTCAGGCAAGTCTTCCAATGCATTTTCTCTATATGTTTCTATCGTATATAGGCCATTATTTAAATGCTCGCTACAGTAACAGTTCTGGTATTTTCTGGAAAAACTAAAAACGGACAACAAATATCAGAATGCCGCCATAGTTACTAATATTCTACATGAAAAGAGGTATTCAATGATATATCACTCATCGCTATTGATACCAAACACCAAATGGATACCAAAATGCCCGTCCTCCTTTAAATATTCTATTCTTAAATTGTTTCGAAAAACAAAAATATCTTAATAAAAGAAAAAAATAACCGAGTTCAGGATCGAACCTTTTTTGATCGAATTTGGTGTCGACCCCTCATATGGCTATCTGTCTCTTATAGTAAATGATAAAATTACGGATACCTTCCTTGTGTCAAATACTTTACTTCCATTTCATCGAATCTCAAATAACAACGGTGCAAAAGATATTTTTACTTCAAAAAGATGACTACCTAAAAAAAAGTCGGACTATTGCAACTGTTGAAATAATCTGTTATATGTAGGTATACACACTAATTCTAGGTACTTGTTTATCCATATTTTGTCCATCAGAAAATAAGTTAGCAGCCTTGGGATCTTGGATTATTAGGCAAATTATTACTGTGTCTTATGCTCGTTCCCATTAATACTACATAAACGAGTACATACTCGTTAACTTGTGCTGTGAGCCAATTCCCCGGTATTAGATGACACCCCAGGAGTAACAAGCAGTGACTCATAACTGGATCCCGCGGTTACGCCTGGAGGGTGAGGGGTAGATCGGGTTGTTGGTTTACCTGGTAGGTACGGGAGCAGATCGGCTGGCTAGCCGCTCGGACTGGGCTGCTGGTCGGAGGCCACGCTTGCGCGAGTGCACGTCAAAGTATACCCCCACCGACTAGCGGCCCTTGGGTTGCTCGCCGCTTGCACCACGCAATTAACTGCGTTGCGAGGATTTGTTAACAGCAAACATTTTTTCTCCCCATCATAGAAAAAAAAGGTATTAGATGGCACACTCACTTTACTTAGACAACGGTCTCCTATTAAAAGCTATACGCTACGCCTGACTTCAGCGTAATTGTTCCGATCGACGTCTGAACGACAGACAATCGGCAGTCCTTTTTAACAATTAACAAGATAAGTTTAATGAAGCTGTATGTAGGCACCAAATTACCATGACCGCGCCCTTTTGCACAATGGCACTTTAAATAAGCTTCGATTCATCTGGCATCCCCCTAAGACTAGACTGTAGTTGCAGTTGTGGCGCATTTTAGTACCAAAGCTTCGTCGCACAGGTGTGGCAGAAGTGTTACTGCATTGTAAATGAGTCGTATAGTATCAAAGGCGGCAAAGTAGGGCGAACCAAATATTTGGCAAATCAAAAAAAACGGTTTAGTCTCGTCTTTAAGGGAGGATTTTTATAATTGACATTCATCATAACTACAAATCGTAGTGAAATGTCAATATTTTATCCTCCCTTAAAGACGAGACTAAACAGTTTTTTTTGATTTGCCAAATATTTGGTTCGCCCTACTTTGCCGCCTTTGATACTATACGACTCAAATGCCTGGTACGTGCGATGAAGGATGGTGGTCAGTGACTGGTGTGTTGCTGGCACTTTGTTGTCGTTTCTCATTGCTTAATGTATGTTTTCATTGTAGCGATACTTCGTGCTATTTTATGTGCCTCGTACTAGAAAGGATTGCAGGAACAATACTTTTGTAGTACACCTAAATTTATATTGTTAATTTTGCTAGTTAACCTGCGCAGAACACACTTTTCAACTGTTTATAGAAGCGCTCCGAGTTAGACCAAAATAAAAATATAACTTAAAAAAGCTAATCGATGTGTTCTTATTTACAGAAACTTATCGAAGCACCACAATCAATTGGTGGATATTTCCAGTTCAAACATGAAAAGTCTTGGGATGTTGATATTGGTCCATCTCCTTACGATAAGTTCTTCGAAATTAATATGGATGATTTATTTTTATCTGTGTCCACAATACCATTTTATAACCGCGATAATATACAAAAAGAAGTTTTCACTGAAAGTGATATTTTAAATATGAATAATAGAGCAACAAAATTTAAACAAAAATATTCCAATGATAAAGTAATTACAACTCCAGAGAGTGATGAAAAAATTAACACTATAGAAGAAACTGATATAAGTATTTATAGTGAAAAGGGAAATACTAAAGAAATTATTAACGAAACCAGCAAAAATCTTTCTTATCAAAACTTAGTACCAGAAAATATTGAAAACCACGAGAAAACAAGTGCAATAAAAGAAATACCTTTCGCCAAAACGTGTGATACAGACATACAAATAATCAAACAATTGGCCAATAACAGTCAAATCACAAGAGTCGATCAAAAAAACGATGATGATATCGAAGATCTTGATGATATTTTAAATGACGAAAAGAAAATTAAACACGAAGACATTGCAGATAGTCTGGAAATTCCAGAAATTCCAAAAGGTAAAGTATAAACTTTTGCTTAAATCTATTTCTTAAAGGCGGGTGTTCCTCAAGGCTCCGTATTGGGACCCATACTGTACATCATTAGGGCTGCCATCCGTCCGGGTTTCCCCGGATTTGTCCTAGTTTACGGGGCGTCCGGGTCCGGGCGGGGTTTCATTTGTCGTCCGGGTTTAAAAATTTCCTGTTTTGGGTTGCCAATTAATCCGTAAATGTAAATGTCTTTGAAAATGAATAAATCTATTCTAACACTGTAACCATAAATGCAGACTTCCAACAAAGATCAGCTTTCCTTGGTGCTGCAAGTGTCCATGGGCAGCAGTGACCACTTATTATGAGGTAGACCGCTAGCTCTTTTGCCTACATCAACAAAAAAAAAGTTGATTTGTGACATTTTTAACTGTTTTTTTATTGGTCTGTCCGGGTTCTGGGCTCCAAAATCCGGGGTTATCACGCCTCTGATCCTGGTTGCCACATTTTAGAGATGGCAGCCCTATAAATCATCTACACTGCTGATTTACCCGTATCAGATGAGATCACCACTGCTATTTTTGCTGATGATACTGCTGATGGTACTTGCAAACGATGAGAGTGAGTGACTAGCATTGCTACAGAGAAGCTGCAGAGAGGTTTAAACAAAGTGTCTGAATGGCTGGAGAAATGGAAAATAAAGGCATGTGCCTCCAAATCAGTGCAAGTCACCTTTACACTGCGAAAAGGAAATAGGCTAGTTGACACTTTTTGGAAATATGTTTTAAATGGTTAATAATTGTTCAATTAGACCGAAAAAAAATGTATTGTAATTTTTCTTTACCTAGAAAGCTACAAAACTTTAATTTTAAAATAGATATTTCATGGACATACAAAAAGCTGTCGGCCATTTTAGTCTATAGATTATCTTTGGTATGACGGGAACAATAGTAAACAAACACTCGCAAGCACGTAGATTATAACCTATCTGAATTTACATTACAAAACCATGATTTCTAATAGATTTCATGATAAATATAGTAATTATCATGATCGTATTATACGAGAATAAAGAAACACATCGTCAAAAACACCAGAAATGTTGTGGTTTAAATTTTTAAGGTTATGAATGTACCTGCTAAGTCAAAGAGTTTTGTCGTTTCTGCTTTCACAAATCCGGCGTCCAGCAATAATTTAGTGAAGAAAACCAATAAATGGAAACTTTTCTTCAAGATATAAGAGTTTTTAGATATATTTTAGTCGGACGAAAGAAACCACAGTAACACGACAATGAGGTTTAGTTGTTTTGCTATTATGTTGACGTCACAATCATGGTGGACAGCGTTTTTAGTGTTTAAAATGCATAGACTAAAAAACTATTTTTCAAAATTAATTACTACAGCCATCTTCTAATTTTATGAAGTGAAATCGATGTATTTAGGTTCCTCATACCAAAAATTATAAGAAATAAACATTTGTATAGTGCAATTTGACATGAGTTAACGAGCCTATTGCCCACCAGTTCTACTGAATAATGTGACATTACCTCACAAGGATTGCGTTTGCATCTCGACCGTCGCCTAGCATGGAACCAACATATCAAAACCAAAAGGCAAGAACTTAATATTAAATTCAGAGGCCTATTTTGGTTGATGGGACGAAACAGCAGGCTATCAGTTGATAATAAACTCCTGATCTATAAAGTCATCTTGAAACCTGTCTGGATGTATAGCATTCAACTATGGGGAAGCGCAAGTAACTTCTAAAAATCCAAATTCTCCAGCGAATGCAAAACCTTATACTACGGTCCCCGTCTAATGCTCCGTGGCTAATAACTAACAGCTAGATCCACAAATATTTAGAAATGAACACGGTGAAGAATGAAATCCAGCGGTAAGATATCTTGTCTCTCTGAGGACAACGAGCAAAGAGTAAATGCTCTCAATGGAGGGAAAACTCGTATAAATAAAAACACTATTTCCAACGCATTTGCTTAAAGCTTGGAGCAATCAGCTCCAAATGCAAATACACATAAGAAAACAAAAAAACTATTTCTTATTCTTATTGTTAATATTTTCTAATCGCGCCTTAATGGTGTAACTTAATCAATAAATTATATGTACACTGTAAAGGCGCTTGTTAACGAGACGGTGACGTTTCTTCCTTCCGGCTCCCGATTGTTTTCACTAGCATCGATCATGCATCTGTCATCATCATTCATCGGCAATGAACGACAGGTTAAACGTCTCAACAGCGACAGCTTATTCACAGTTAATTTCTTACACTGTCTCAGTATTTATTCTTTAATTAAATATCTATACACAGATGATGATCACGCGGGAATTCCACCAAGAATAAAATATTAGCTTTCATCAAAAGTGATGCGTCTATACAAACAACGCATTTCACTGTTCATCATTCACAAATAATTGCAAAAATGAATCACTTTGATGAGTCGTTAGCGTACCGTCCGCCTTTAGTCGTTTACCCGAATACATTGACAATCGTATTCGGGCTAACAACAAAGTGTAATTGAGGCATTAAGTATAGAATACTATGGAGGTTTGTTAACGACACCGACACTGGCGCTACCGAAGGTTTGGGGTCGATTTGTACAAACGTACAAATCGTGCCCGTGCTAAGCCGGCGGACTAACTACCAGTAGAGCCGGTTTTTACCCGAGCCGGCCCCATACCTAACAAACTGACGACCGGATACGGGTAAAAACCACGGTAGACACGGGTTAAAACCGTGCCTAGACCCGGCGGATAACCGTCTCGTTAACAAGTGCCCTCACTACACACCTCACCCTACTATTACAACCCATTAGAGAATAACTTGGTGATCTTAAATTCATATATTTTCAGATTTGGTAGCTGTTACAAATATGAAGACAGAAACTGAAAAAATTCCAGTTATTGAATCACCAGAAGATTTAGAAAAATGGCTAGACGACTTTTTAGATGGATGATCGACTGACTATACTTACTATGTCCTATGTGTCATAAATACATAATTCCCAGTGTGCAATTTCTAGGTATTTATGATATGGCATGAATAATAAATGGTTGCCATAAACGTGCTGTTTTTACATTAATGAAAACCTCCGTTCCATATAACTCTACTGACATATTGGTAGGTGCCTTCCTCACCGTATCGGTGTGGGTACTGTTTCGTTTCTGTGTCGAATCTGTACAGTTTATTTACAGAGTGCATTTTTAAAAATGATACTTTCTCACCGAGCAGTTTCGGTAAATAATGTATCTCTACCGAGCGGATAAACGGTTCTCTGTACCGAGGGCTCCAGAGTACTTCCAAACCGTTCAGACTCGCCCGTCCCTTCGCTCCCACAAACAAAACGAAAAGGTATCGCACCGAAGCCGAGTCGGTCACGAAATGGTATTTGGTACTATAGAGTTCTACCCAGAATGGATAGAACCTGGGGACGTGCTTATTAATTAAACGATACTGGTAGAGATAAATTATTTATTTCTTTTTATCATTCAGGCGAATATAAAGAAATTTTATCTAAATACGAGAGGAAGTTCTTGGTGCCTGAAGATCTAATCTAGAATGGAACCTTCAGACGATTCCTTATTTCAAATCTTAAAATCATGACATTAACTTTTTAATATAACTGCCAACCGTAGGCATTGCAAAAGCAAAGAGTTTACCTAAACAAGGAGGTTATAACGTTAAGGACGTTACATCCCTCCGGCATGTAACGTCCTTAACGTTATAACCTCCTTGTTGAGTTTGTAGGGCTCATTGATAGTGGTGCTGCAGTGTCTGTGGTGTCGAAGGACACAGTTAATAGAATTCATCAACGAATTGATGAAAGCGATACGAAGTTGAAAGCTGTCGATGGTAAAGAATTGTCGGTTATAGGGAAAGTCAACCTAAAATTATTGATAGACAATGCGTTATTTATTCACGATTTTCTTGTGGTAGAAAATATTAGGCATAACCTCATCTTAGGACAGGATTTCTTTCTTCGAAATAATGCGATAATAGATTTTTGTAACGAACAATTAATAATCAAACATATTAAGTGCAAGTTTAAAAGACAATGTATACAAATGAATAACGAAAGTGATAGTGATAATTCGATATATGATGAAAATTTATATTATGCCGAATAGGTTGATAGTATTATAATATTGTGTTACTAATGAGATTTTATTTCAGTTTATTGTTTATATGAATGTTTTAAAGCAATGGTGGTATGTAAATAAGGTTCAATACAATAGTCATTTTAGAATTTTATTTCAAAAGCATATTAAATATAATTTTGTCATTTTATTAGAATTTTTTTTTAATACACATATTATAAGGAACTTTTACACATTTTGTTTATGACAGATCAATAGGTAGTCTCATTAAAGTATTTTCATTTCTTTTAATTGTTAGCTTTAGTGTAATTTGTTGAGTAGGTGGATTATAGATATGGTAATAACCATAAGAATGATAGGTAACAGGTTCGATTCTCTGTTCAACTTGGAATTATTCAATTGACTTTGAATATGATCATAGATAGGATTAATTCAGTATTAGGATAGAATATATATAGTTAATAATGTATAATAGGATAATATAGGTCCATAAAGAAAATTCCCTTATTATAAAAAAGGAAACGGGTTCGATTCCCTGTAAGGTTAAAAAAATAAATAAATGAATAATAATGTTATACTTTGAAAATTTACCCAACTATGGAAAAGAGGCTATAAAGATTTATCATAAATGTTTTCTTGAATATTAACTTACCCGGCGCCTCCACCATATAGAGTTCTACCCAGAATGGATAGAACCTGGGGACGTGCTTATTAATTAAACGATACTGGTAGAGATAAATTATTTATTTCTTTTTATCATTCAGGCGAATATAAAGAAATTTTATCTAAATACGAGAGGAAGTTCTTGGTGCCTGAAGATCTAATCTAGAATGGAACCTTCAGACGATTCCTTATTTCAAATCTTAAAATCATGACATTAACTTTTTAATATAACTGCCAACCGTAGGCATTGCAAAAGCAAAGAGTTTACCTAAACAAGGAGGTTATAACGTTAAGGACGTTACAGTACCTAAATCAGCTAGTCTTATCTCCTACACTTTTCTGTACTGATTCAATTCCTTTCGGGAATGTTCAAGTATACCCGATATATTCAGTATGCATGCGGGATATTTCGGCCACGCAATAACAGCTGGGCAGGTAGACCAAGGAGAACCAGAAGAATCTTATGAAGCTCGTTAGAGTTTTGGACCACATTTCCACTTTAGTCGATTTCAATGCCAAATAAACCAGGTCAACGGCGCGCGCCCGGCATCATTGACGATGTGTAGGTGACTTAAAACCCCGAGCATCTTTTATTACGCCGTGATGTGGCGTCTTTAAACAAGTTCTATCATGGGTACCTCTAAGTGTTCTAATGAGTTATTAAGCCCCATCACCTTCCCCTTTCATTAAGAGAACCCAGGGCGTTGGCCTTACTTGCCACCGGCGATCTACTTTGGCCACTATTCAAACACAAACAAATAAATTTGGTAACTCATTACTTTGTCGCACTATCCGCAAATGGAATGCTTTGCCCGCTCACGTGTACCCTGCGTGAAGAAGCACATCGCAGGCCGGCTAGATCGCTGGTGTGGCAGGTAAAAAATTACGTTCTTAACTATTAATGATTAAAGCTGCATTGAATTTTATAGAAACGTTTAATCAAAGAATTATTTTTAAATAAGTAGGTAGGTAAAATTCATTTTTTCTTCTCCCCCGGGCGAAAATTTTAAATCCTGATTTTTTCAGAAAATAAGAATATTTTGTAATTTGATTGATTCTTACAGGATCAAATAAAATCTGGCAACCCTACTTCCTGGGTTAGAGGTGTATCAAAAGCCTCTTTATTTACCCTTCTCACCGGATGTTGTGTAAAGAGTTTAGTCTAGCTGTAGAGATTGTCAGTGCGCGGGAAACCATTATGATAAAGAAAAACAACTATGATATAGCTATATACTTTACGACCCACCACTAGTCACATCTTTTAGGATTGGCTGGGTCTTAGATGTTGTCCGAAGACTAATTTAAACTCGTTAAGTACTTACCCAGGTATTTATTTAATGTTATTTTCTTAATTCCATTTCGATTCAGCTTCTTCGGTTAAACTCCAACTCATATCTTCATCAAAAATGTGCCAACTTAAATTAAACTTTATTATAGCGAACCATAACATAGTTTCTATAGCACAACACAATACAAAATCTCCTAGATCAACATTTAGTACTAAAGTAGGTATAATATACAGAGCGCGTATTCCTTAGTGATCTCCGATGTTTGTAGAATGGTGCGCTTGGGTCTTCTAAAATACACGTCGCTTCGTTTCTGGACTGGATTGATTAAAGCGTTACATGCGTTTGATGTTTTTTTTTGTCCTCCACCCGAAAGCAGGAAACTATGTGCCACTCCAAATGATGATCCATATTTGTTGCAATTTGCAGATGCGCTTGATCTTAATCCCGGCAAACGTGTCGGCTTGTGCGGTGATGTCCTTTTGACCCTTCCGTGGTAAACTGCTTAATTTCAGTTGTAGGTACATTATCCACATACATTTATAAATAAGCTAATAAAAACAATACACTCTCGTGGCGTCGTCATGCGCGTGGCACGCTTCGCGCAGCCGAGTATAAACAAGTGTTTTTAAACTATACCTAAACAGTACTGTATTAATTTAAAGATACTTTCTTAATTTAATTTAATCAAAACTTAACGACATCTTAACATACAAACTCATGTTTACCTTTTGTACTCCAAAGCTGATGTTAGTCATTATGATCGGCATACCAATAAAATATCATTATACACTAGTAAGCCGGTGCCGTAAGGATCACGACATCCGTAAATAAAATGGCGTTCAAAAGGTAAAACTTACAATAAAACTAAGTTTTCCCAATCCCTAAATTTTATTGAAAATGATGAACCTATGCTTACATAATTTGTGACTCCAATACATACTACACATATTCAAATACTAAACAGTCATGTTTAACTACACCAACCACAATGTCGAGACTCAACAAAAGGGCTATACCATGAACACTTAACGCATTTCAAGGAGGTTGCGTTACAGAATTCATTGCAAGGCTCCGAATTCCCAAAAATCGAGTACGCTTGAAAATAAAAACCATACTCAGTCCAAACGTGGCCAATAAAAGCCAATTATTGAAATACTCGAAACAATATTGCACAGGCAGGTAGGTAAAAAAGGTACTAAAAGAAAAACTCCATCATAGGTTTAAAAGTAATGAAAGTTTTTATCACTAAATCATAATATAATAAAAAGAGGAATTATGGGGAAAAATAAAATACTACCTATGGTTAATAGCGATAATCATAATTGCTGTACTGACCTCTATTATCGTAGTGATTTGGTGGATTGCGCCGACCAAACTGATTATGAGGTGGCATAGGTTCAGTCTGTTTCAACGTCTTAGCCCGAGCGGCTAATTGGGATACCAACTGAGCAGGTGTTAAATGTGCAATAGAAATAGGAGCACTATTAGAAGCACCCCCCGTTGGATTGAATATTGATTTGGAATTAATGAGATCTTGTTCTACAACTTGAGTATGAATTGATGACGTAAAATATTCAGGTTCTGTTGAGGTACCGGCTTCAATGTGCTTCGTAGATTCTCGAATTTCACAGACGTCGCAATGCGGTCGTACAGTTTGAACAGCTGCGTCCTTCATATCCTTCGAAGGTTTTTTCTTAGGCCTGGCAACGAGTTTGTCGAGACCTATAGTGGAAATGATGCTATCGATGAGTTGCTTGTTATGCTGATGCGATATACCGCTGATTTTTGTAAACTGGAACTCCACGGCAGCTTGTCTCTTCAATGGTGAGCAGTATTTAGGCGCCAAACATTTGGGTTCTTGACCGATGACGCTGTTGTTCATCATTAAACGGTTGGGCAGCAGCAGT